ATGAACAGACTGGTGTTTCAGATGAAGGATACCGCTTTTTACGCAGGGGTACTTCAACAGTGAACTTGACGTTGTGTATTTTCTGTCACAGCTCTGAAAGCAAGCAGAAGACGAGCCATGTTTCTACCATAATAATACATTCTAAAGTGTGCACAAATGCAAAATATGCACACAAGGTCTTTGAACGTATTATAGACGTGAATGATTTAATAGCAGCCGAATCATGCTATCACATCTAAGTTAATTTCTGTGGGATGCCAAAAGGGCAGAAACTGACAGCAAATGAGCTGATATGGCCATGGCTTGGTTGTGTCAGGAGTTATGTCACCGTGCAGAGAATGAACACATATTTGAATTGTCTGCTGTGTTCATGAGGTACAAAGAATTAGCCAATGAGTCAGACTCTATCATCCCATCATCATATTTCAGTAGACAGGGGACTTCAAGGGACCTTTATAAAAGTGCATTGGGGTCACTTATGAATTTGTTGTTCATGTCACTGGAGCACGTTGCTCTGAGACTCTGCAGTGATATGTCAGATCCGGGATTCAAATGTTGTGACGTGAGTGAAGAAGTAGAGTTGGCCAGTGTACCTCCTTCTGAAGAACGTGAAATAGGCGTGTATCTGATGTTGAACGGATTAAGAATACAGGTGTTCGTAGTATGGGGCAAGACATGGTCTACAGCGTTTGCGGGGACAAGGAAGCACCACCTAAACATGTTGGTATTGTTATGACCCTTCACCAATCAACATGCACAGTCAAGAAGTTGAGCTGTACCATAGAGAATGCTTGGCACATCATCAGTTATACCCGGGTTCTCCAAGCACTAGATCCACAAACTGGGGGAGTGTTTTCAAGGAACTTGGTCTTTGGGAGCTTTTTTTTTCTTTTTTCTTGGGGGCAGGACACACTTTTTGTGAAAACATCAAACAAGATGGACTTGGTACCTTGGTGCGAAGTGCCCTGTACTTCTAACCCTTGTGTTCTTAACCCGTTCAACATCAGATGCGCCTATTTCACCTTCTTCAAACTCATTATAAACATGACTTTGGCCACCAAGTAAGATGTTCAGAAGCATGTACGCTGGCCTACTCTGCTTCTTGACTCACGTACAACATGTGACATGATATTTACAGAAATTTACTTAGACAGTCAATATGATAGCATGCTTCGGCTGCTATTAAATCATTCACGTCTACAATACGTACAAAGGCCTTGTGTACATATTTTGCATTTGTGTCCAGCAGTGCATCAACTAACAAAATCCTCCGGCACAAAGATTCCTAAAACCAAATATGTGATAGCAAAGTCTTTTAGTACACCCTCGATCCTTCAGTCATAGCACATGGCTTGTATGCATTTATGTTCCACTTTCGCCTTCATCTTCATACTCAGTATTTGACACATTATAATAATAATAGTAATAATAGGGCATTTCTAATGTGCATATATCCATACTGAAGTATGCTCAGAGTTCAGCAAAGTTGGAAAGACATCAGGAAAAGTTGAGTTTTCAGTTTTGATCGGAAGCTAGAGAAGTCACTGGTGTTCTGGAGAGAGAGGGGAAGATCATTCCAGGCTGTTGAAGCTGCGTAGGCGAATGATCTGCTGCCGTAGCGAACACTGTTTGCTCTAGGAACAAGCAGAAGGTTTTTATCCTGAGAACGAAGGGATCTAGCTGGATCTAGCTGACATAAGAAGATTGGAGAGATAAGCAGGAACGCATCCAGACAGGAAGCGGTAGGAGAGGCAGAGGAGTTTAAAGCGGATCCGGTTCTCGATTGGAAGCCAATGAAGAGATTGAAGAATGGGAGAGATGTGGTCAAACTTCTTCGATCTAGTCGCGACATTTGCCGCAGCATTTTGGATTCGTTGAAGTCTCTGGATTTGTGATTTGTTTGCACCGGCTAGGAGAGAGTTACAACAGTCCAGGCAGGCCATTACATGGCATAAGGTGAGAGTTTTTGCCGAATCTATAGTCAGGTATTGCCTAATGGAACTGATATTGCGTAGAGCTGCAAAACAGATCCTAGAGAGATGTGGTATGTGATCATCCAAAGAGAGGTCGGAGTCAAGGATGACACCAAGATCTCTTACTTTCTGTGAATACTTTCTCCATCAAAATCAAGAGCATTCAATGAGCACTGGGAGCAACGTTTTGCAGGACCCAGTAGAATGCACTCTGTCTTTGAACTGTTCAATTTCAGCATGTAGTCAAACATCCAGCTCTTGGTTTCCTCACAGCACTGTTGTAGGTCATTCAAGGCGGGTGTTGCTTGATCCATAGTGAGTAGGAAGACTTTGTACATTTTAGGAATCATCAGAAAAGTGATGGCGATCAACATGGTGGGCTTCCATGATTTTCCCAAGATCTTTGATGTAAAGACTGAACAAGACCGGACCTAAGACCGATCCTTGTGGGACACCACAAAATAGATGAGCTGGATTAGAGTAATGATCCTCTATCAGTACTTGCTGGTGACGGGACGACAGATAAGACTTGAACCAGCATAGAGGGGTGTGCCATCAATGCCATTATCAGATAGGGTTCCCACCTGTTCCTGTGATTTCCTGAACTGTTCTGTGGGTAATTATGTTGCTAAAATCATTAATCAAACTCACTGCATGAATGAAAGCAGTTTCATTTGACATGCATGTGAAGCAGTATAAAAGCATTCGTGTGGCATACATGTAAAAATGCCTATCGCATCCTGTCACACTCATTAACCTTTGAAGTAATTATGCGCTTAATATGCGATTTTTGTGACCTAAACAGTTTGCCTGGAATATAATTCTGTCAACAAAAGGAAAAGATTCAGCCTTGCTTTGCATTTTGAGCAAAAATGCTTGTAAGAAGTAGCTCTTCACGCAAAAACTAAAAGTCGCTCCATAAGGGAGATATTTGCAAAAAATACGAAATTTTTCCTTCAGCATTTCCATGAAATCCAACATTTTGAAATCCTGTGGTAACATTATTAATCAATATATTGTAAACTGAGTTCATTGTATGGATGGAGAATGATAAATAAAACACTTTTTTAAAAATTTGAATTTTGCACTCATTGACCTTTGAACCTAATTTGTGACCTAATTAGGCATTTTTGAGCTTAGCAAACAACAGATTCGTATTCAGCACGAAAAACTACCCCAGAAAATGTTGTTTGCTTGCTTTTACTCAAAAATGCCTCATGCATCCTTAAAATCCACATTTCTGAGAAATTTGACTAGTCTATCTACTGACATTATTTGGCATTAAAGTTCTGATGGTCAACGTTCTTCAGCTCCAACATCATATGGCAATGGTAGAAAAAAATTCTGAACTGATGTGGATGCAAGACACAAAAATTCTTTACTCGCACCAATAATTTATTCTGGTATACGTTCAGTTTCACTTTGACTTCTTTCTTTGGCTTGGTGAGGTTCAGAAAACTACAAAGCAGAAATACAGACTTGCTAAGTAAATTATTCCTAACAGTCAGTTATTCCTAACAGTCAAACTACGTGACAAATCTAAGTAAATTACTTCAAATTAACTGTTACAAGATAAATGAATAAAATGTACAATTAACAAAACCTTCAAATAATATTACCTTATTATGCATTTGTGTTCATGCCAACTACAACAGCTAAATGTCTCCAACATGGAGGCAGTGACAAGCCATGTGCTCTGATGAGGGGCAACACTCACAATAAGGGGAAGTAATCTGTTATGACAATCATGATAATACTTTTTGGAAAACTAATAACAGTTATAGCCAAGCTAGACTTTCTGAACCTAATCTGAACTAAATTTTACAATGAAAATTACTACACTGTTTTAGAACTTTGTACTTTACAACATAAAAATATAACCTTTTGACAACAAATATCTTTAGTGCATGAAATTATAAACTAATTGAAGTGAACATTTTTTCTGCATCAATTTACACCTGGGAAGACAGGGCATATTTCCAACAAAACGGCCAGGCTAAGTATGTTTCATTTACCTCACCCATTAACGATTGCAACAACCCTTATGTCGTTTCGTGAAATGTCTGGCTGTAACCTGCTCTCTATTTTCCTCAAATCAAACCACAACCATCAGGCCTAGGTTCCTGTTCTAGCCAGAATGTGGGACCAGTGAGCCTTCAGCTCACACCGTATAAGTGGAATTATCACGAGTTATTGATGAGCGATTCGTGAATTTCCGGGAAAAGCCGATTAGTGACTCGTGCCTTTCCCAAGGACATTTTGTCCCGACTGGATACCGTCTTAGCCCAAACTGGCTTTCAGCTGCCAGGCATAAGATTCACGTATATTTCCACAATCTATCAGAAATATTGCAAATGATATTTAAAAACGGACTTATTTTGATAACAATATCATTGAATACAATTCACAGTATCGTAAGTATATTTTTAGATACAAGAAATATGTAAGTATATTTCAACGATGGTAGGGACGAGTCTTTTATAGGTTCCATAAACGGGCAAGTGGTGTTTTTGATTCTTGTTTAACGCCATATGCCGTAACGCCGTTTAACGCCGAACATTACAGGCGGTCTGTTAATAATCGAATCTGGACCAGACAATCCAGTGACAAACAGCATGAGCATCGAGGCGAATGGTGAAGAATGATCATTTGCAGTGTGTGTCACAGACATGTCTGTTCTAAATAAAATGCGTCAATGGCAGCCAATGTCAGGGCTCTCCTCAAGTCAGTGAAGGAATAAGACTCTCTTGACTTGAATTCGTCACAAACGGCTTCATTTTATTGTTAAAAAAACGCATGACACCACTACGTCTAAAATTAGCATTCACATATAAAGCCGAAAGAAACTGGCAATGCGTGGAGTCTGGTGAAATAGATTCCAATAGCACTAGATCAGACGATGAAGTGTGTAAAATGACGCTGCGCATGTGCAGCAAGTGGTAAGCCTGGTCCAGAAGTCGCCTCTGTACATACCGCAATGATTCTGTTGCAGTTTAACCTCCACTCACTCCCTTTTTTTTATTCAAGGTGTGCTGTCCGGACCAGTAGACCACGAAATTGGACTTAAAGATGCCTACATTTCATTGAAAAACTATGTCTTAACGAACGGATTTAAAGTAACACTTTCACAATCGGTATGTATATACATATTTGAAGACACTTTTCTTTCCTTAAATACTTCTTTCTTGAATAACTTCAACGCAACAACTCGTTTGCCGTTGCAAACGTTAATGTTGAAACTGTGAAAGTCAAGCAGAAATATTATTGCCTCTTCATAAGGCCGGAGCTCGAATCGAATTGTACAACATTGGAATAAGAATACTGGTGTCCAAGATATTTTTATGGATTAAACATCTTTGTAATTTCTGTTCGTTTTGAGATATATATATACTGATGATTTTGTCCACTGGAATATATATGTGTATCTTACCTATGTTTTCATGACCTGTCCTAACCAAGCCATGCAGACCGCCTCCGTGGTGTAGTGGTGAGAGCGTCCGTCCGGAGAACGGAAGGTCGCGGGTTCGATCCCCGACCGAGTCATACCAAAAAGACGTTAAAATATGGAACTTGTTGGTCACTGCCTGACGCTCGGCATTACTGGGTACAACAAGGACTGGTCGGCTTGGAGTCAGTATAATGTGTCTGAGTGGGGCATTCATGCTTCACTGCGGCATGGCATCTCAGTGAGCTAGCACTATAAAAGCAGCTTAAGTCTGGGCTAGTACACGCAGCCGCACATACACATACACACGCATGCACGTCGTCATATGAGCGAAATATTCTCAAGTACGACGTTAAACCCAATTTCACCTAATCTCAACTCACCAAGCCATGCTGATGGATTTGAACTTCCGTACTAACATTCATGTTCACCTTACAACACTTTAACCCCCACTGGTTTCGAAAGACTGACCCCTCCACTAGTCTCGCCTCTGATGGTTACAAAACGTCCACTGTGCTTGTACATACACGTTTTTTTATACAAAATACTAATCACGATGTTTGTGTTCCAGAAAAAAAACTTTTACCGCTTCTACAATAACGACTGAAGTTCTTAGAAATCCAACCTTAGGGTCATCGAACAAAGGTGACTGGCTCCTGAATTATAAAATAAAACTTCAATGTGTTTTAGAATGAATGTTATTATCCAATAAAACGATGTGTTCTAGGGTGAATGTTATTTTAAGGGTTATATATACTCGGCGTCATTAATGAAGGGTCAAGGTATTGGTAACACTATTTATTACCTACGAGGGCGAAAATATCGGGGTTCATATTTTTCATACAATGCCCTAGGGCAAAATATCACTTTGTCAGGGTGACGTGACGTCATGGACAATGCTATGACGTCACGTTTCTTCTGGGACGTTGCGTTCTACATGCGGTGACGGCGGGTAGCCAGCCTATGTTTGAAAGTAGATTTGGGTTTATTTACCTCTATTTGACGACTTCAGTAATAAACAGAATCTAATATTCGTGCCCATATCATACCATGTTTACAACACTCGTGCCTAAATATCGATATATCCGCCGCTCTCACTCGGTAACTACCAACATTTGGGCACTCGTATCGTAAACATAGCATGACATGGGCACTCATATAATATCCTCTATTTCTTAAAGGTGTAAAATCTTCGTTTTTGTTTGAAAAATATACTAGAGAATGTTTTCCAAACTTTATTAACAATATGGAAAAACACATCAGGTCGTTGAAGTGTCATTATTACGTTCTTTAAAGTCCGACACATTCTGTTGCAAATGGCACATTTTTCATTCAGATTGTCAGTATGGAAATCCACCTGTCACTTAATGTCAATGATTTGTACGTACAAGTCGCTCTATACATGGAAGGTGGAGGACAATACACATGCGTTGATGCTTTTTCACCGTCGTTTACTGTTCAGGTACCGGTTTGAAATCGCAGCTTAACATGATACATTTTTTACACTTGCTGAAAGGGGTAAGGCTATAAGCCTTTTGAAATCAGGTCAAACTCAGCGGCAGGTTGATGTCCGCTTTAATGTGACTCAGAGTGCTATAATTGTGGTAGAGATTTCAGGCCAATTGGTCCGTGGAATATGCACGTCGACCAGTCTATACAACTGATGTTTGCTGGTGCTGTTTGAACATTTTGTCTGTATGTCACGATGTGTCACGATTGTCAAAACATTAAACATTATGATGACACTCTTAGTTGTATTATTTCTGAGAAATGTTCCTTTACATGTGCTATATATCATATGACCCTTCATTATGACGCCTAGTACATATAGTAGGTTTGATAGCAAACACATAGTACACATATTTACGTTATGAAAGTAATAAGTGAGTTGGTGAGTTAAGTTTTACGCTGCTTTTAGTAATATTCCAGGAATATCACGACGGGGGACAGCAGAAATGGGCTTTACTCATTGTACTAATGCGGGGAATCGAACCCGGACCTTCGATTCCCCACATGGGTACAGTGAGTAGTTCGTTATATCACAGTGTCAGGTGACATTTGTTCGTATTGCTAGTAATTAATTACATCTCTGGGGCGTTGTGGGCGAGCAGGCTAAGGCGCCAGGCTAGTAATCCAGTGAGGTTGGAGGTGCCGGGATCGAGCCCATCTGTGACCGGGTGACCTTGAAGTCAACCTTGTGTGCAGACTCTTTCAGTGTTGTCACAATCCCATGTGCAGTACACTACCATGTGCACTTGAAAGAACCCACGAATCCGTTTGTATATGACCAGATGGTGGCCACACCTAGTTGCGGGTACAGCAACGTGCAGTGAACTTGTACAATGTATTGCAACTAGGTGTCCCAGTCGATCCAGCTGTGAACGGGTATCTCGTAAGGTCTACTCCCATTTATGAGAACTCCCAGTTGTGAGACTCCCAGTTGTGAGACAGTGGAGTAAGAAATTAGCAAAGAAAATACACCTTACTCCCCTATCTTATAGAATGGATTAACCCCAGCTAATTATGGATTAGCTATTTAACTGAATCTTGTGGAGGTAACTTAATGAAACTCTAAAAGATACAGTAATTAACCTACTCAGATAAATGGCTTTAAAATATAAACACTTTGTGTAGGTAACTTCGGGATCATTTCTCGTAAGGATGGGAAAGCCACACTAACTCGGTGCGACTAGTGGCTGCAAGAGTTGTATGATCCCCCAGGGAGTTGAGATTGATAATACGAAGTGCCGTTGAGACATCCAATGATCGAGGGAAAAACAAAGCGCCCGTGAGCAGCCTAGCTGGAACTCGGCGCTATATACATAGATTATTATGATCATATTAGTTATTTCTGTCATTGCTTTATCATGTCAGTTTGCTGTATCAATAGCTCAGTAGTTCATTATATCACTATGAAAAGCAACATCACCGAAGAGTATTTGCAATTCTCACTAACAACATCATTGTCTCAAAAAGCTACCAGCCCCAGTACAACTCAAGCAATAACAGAAGGGCCAGCGAAAGTAACTGCACACACAGAATCTCACTCATCATCAGCGACACCGACAACCACGACTGGATCGACAACAGCTACATCCACATCAACTACTATCAAGGTGCAGAAACCTACTCCTTGTGCTTGTGTCTGCAACAGTCCCACGACGTCAGCTGCATCCACATCAGCTACTGTCAAGGCGGAGGAAACTACTCCATGTGCTTGTGAAGGCAAGCGCTCTACGTTGTTGGCTGCATCACCCTCCTCCACAAAAACGTTTACAGGTGAGTCAGTTCTTCTCTGGAACACCTGAATGTTGATTATGTTACAATATAATAAAAAATACCCTAATGCGAAACATCACTACTGCTGACACTACAGCTTACTCTCATGTCTTCATTAAAAAAAGCAAGCAAATTTAATGTACAATAAATCTTATTGCCTATATTAGTGTAATCAACACCGACAATATTAAAACAATATTATATAATTATAGACTGGTGATGAGGTCAATACCTGGTGTTATGGACCCGCGAAAAGCAGTATTGACCGAGGACGAAGCTTTTGGCGGGTCCATAAAAACTGGTATTGACCGAATTCAACCAGTCTATAATTGTTTTATTTTTTAATTACCGAAAAAAGCTTCTAAAATCCAAAACGTGTCCACTTAGTCTAGAAAAGTAATTTTATTTTCACTACAAATCAATAACGTTATGTCAACAATACTGTGACATGTAAACAAAAGAATGACGTCATAGCTTGACGTGATTGTCGTCATAGCTTGACGTCATAGTAACTCAGGTCAATATGACTTTTGGTCGGACCTTGGTTGGAGTCAATATGCTTTTCTGTCGACGGTCACGTGACCGCCACTAGACCAATCAGGTAGCCAGAAAAATATGCTTGCATAATAATTATAAATATGTATAATATCGGTTTCCATTCGTTGCTTGTTTCTTCATCAACGCGTTGCTTTGGACTGCTATACTCCCTTTCCCCACTAAATTGTACCACAATATCGCAACGGAAAACGAGCTCAGTTATCTCCCCTACAGAGTTCCTGTACACTGTTGGAGCACCGTGCAACAATATTCAGGGTCTCCTTATAATTTCTAAATGTAATTACAAAACTTTGCAAGATCTATAATTGAATAACTAGTACATAATGGTTATTTGTAAGACACATACACCAGGACGAATTGTCACAGACAACGGTAGACACAATTTGAAATGCACGTTTCTCCATAGATGTTTTCCATGACACATTCGTTGAATAATTCGGTATTGATCAGCTGGCATGATGATAAGATAACATCATTACATATTTGCACGAAATTAACACAACATTATAGAAAGGTGTGATAAATAATATTACATTGCTTTGAACGTTCAAATATCGCTGATGAGTATGATGATCATGATTCATTGCACTGAAGTATCATATTGCAGGATTATATGTTTACCTTATGACAGTTAATATTATACAATTATAGACTCTTGTAGAGGTCGATATCGGTTTTTATTGACCTGAGTAAAACAATATCGACTGAGCTTGCGAGGTCGATATTGTTTTTCTCAGGTCAATAAAAACCGACATCGACCTCTACAAGAGTCTATAATTGTTTTATTATATAATGAAAGAGAAACGGGTTTTAACATAAACGTTTAATGCACACACTGTGCCATCTATCTGAGTGATCTGATTGGCTGAAAAGCGGAGGAATCCCCTTCTTACGAGATTCCTTGTCTATTTTTTGTAACCCAAGTCAATATCGTAATTTATCAGAAAACTTAAGTCAATATCGTGTTATGTAGTCAATCATGTGACGGTATTTTAACCAATCGTGGTACAGGAAAAATAGTACCTATATAATAAACAGTGTAATATATCTCATCAAAATGCATCTATTTTAGGAGGACACAAAACATCACCGTCGTCGTCGGCGACGCAGTGTGGGGAAACGTCACCGTCAAAATCTTCCCCAGCAACAGGTATCTTGTAATCGCAATATCTGAAATGAATAAGTACCTAGCCAATTATTTGGGCTCTTTCTCGGGCAATAAGTGATAGATTTCTGACAGTGGGGTGCATTTGAACAGTATGAAGCAATTTTCGATGACATGGAATAACGATAGAGCTGAAAGAGAGGGGTGTCGTTGGGCAAGATGAAGCATTGATAGATCTCAGGGAAGGTAACGTTGTTAGGCGAGATGAAGCAGCGACATAGTTCAGGGAAGGTTACGTCGTTCAGTGAAATGAAGCAGTGATAGAGAACAGGGAAGGTAAAACGTAGTTAGGCAAGATGAAGCAGTGATAGATTTCAGGGAAGGTAACGTTGTTAGGGTAGATGAAGCAGTGATAGATCTCAGGGAAGGTAACATCGTTATGGTAGATGAAGCAGTGATAGGGTCCAGGGAAAGTAGCCACCGTTATGGAGATCTGCACCCTGGGTGATGGATGAGCAAGCACTTGTAGTTTTGGAGATCTGCTCACAGGGTTCCATTGACAGAGCCCTTTGCGTTGTTCAGCGTCGATAGTTTGGTGGCAGTTACGTCATGGTATGGGACACAATCACATCTCATGGTCAGACAGATCTTGCCATGTGCCAATGTAATCTGACAGGTCTGCGATACAGGGATGAGATCACCGAGCCTCATGTGCAGCCGTTCATTCAAGGACAGAGACGTATCTTCTCGCTTTAGCAAGATAATGCCCGTCCACATGTCGCTCGTCTTGTGACAGATTTCCTGAAACAGCAGGACATTCCGGTACTCCCCTGGCCAGCTATTTCTCCGATTACGTCAGCCCAGAATCAGCCGTGGACATTAGCTGAATTGGGACAAGCGTTCAACTTGGTTCAGAAACAGAACAACATTCCCAAAGCTTACTTCAATCGCTTAGTGTCGTCTATGCATCGTATCTGTCAAACCTGCAATGGTGGACACGCACGTCAATGGTGGAGACACACGACAATGGTAGACACACACATCAATGGTGGACACGCACGTCAATGGTGGACACACACGACATTGGTGGACACGCACGTCATTGGTGGACACACACGTCAATGGTAGACACGCACGTCAATGGTGGACACACACGTCAATGGTAGACACGCACGTCAATGGTGGACACGCACGTCAATGGTAGACACGCACGTCAATGGTGGACACACACGACAATGGTAGACACGCACGTCAATGGTGGACACGCACGTCAATGGTAGACGCGCACGTCAATGGTGGACACGCACGTCATTGGTGGACTCGCACGTCAATGGTGGACACACGTCAATGGTGGACACGCACGTCAATTGTGGACATACACGACATTGGTGGACACGCACGTCATTTGTGGACACACGACAATGGTAGACACGCACGTCAATGGTGGACACACACGTCAATGGTAGACACGCACGTCAATGGTGGACACGCACGTCAATGGTGGACACACGACAATGGTAGACACACACGTCATTGGTGGACACGCACGTCAATGGTGGACACGCACGTCAATGGTGGACACGCACGTCAATGGTGGACACACACGTCAATGGTAGACACGCACGTCAATGGTGGACACACACGTCAATGGTGGACACGGACGTCATTGGTGGACACGCACGTCAATGGTAGACACGCACGTCATTGGTGGACACGCAAGTCAATGGTGGACACGTACGTAAATGGTGGACACGCACGTCAATGGTGGACACACACGTCAATGGTAGACACGCACGTCAATGGTGGACAAACGACAATGGTGGACACGCACGTCAATGGTGGACACACGACAATGGTAGACACGCACGTCATTGGTGGACACGCACGTCAATGGTAGACACGCACGTCAATGGTGGAAACGCATGTCAATGGTGGACACACACGTCAATGGTAGACACGCACGTCAATGGTGGACACGCACGTCAATGGTAGACACACACGACATTGGTGGACACGCACGTCATTGGTGGACACACGTCAATGGTAGACACACACGTCAATGGTAGACACGCACGTCATTGGTGGACACGCACGTCAATGGTAGACACGTACGTCAATGGTGGACACACACGTCAATGGTGGGCACACACGATGCTGAATTTGAAAATGAGATTTGACACCACATCTCTTCAAAGGCGTGTCACGGTGCCTGGAGTCTAATCATACAGCATATGATATTATCCTGTCAACGGTTAAGCAGGAAAACACTTGAAATCATGATATTATCTTTTTACATTAACAAAATGCCATAACATAAAACAATTCACAGTTACTTTATTCCAGTAGTGTATACTTGTCCACTCTGTTATTGCACCCCACAATAGAAAATAATTATCGTGTTTTTTTCCACTTTCCAAGGTACACTTGTTGGAGTAGCAATCGCAATGTTGGTTCTGGGCGGCATCCTCGGTGGCGTCATAGTTTTCTTCATTCAACGACGTCGCGGGGGTGATATAAAGTACGACAAATATATAACCAACCCAGCGTACACTCATTAAACTGCGTTAGAGTAACATTTTGATGTTTCTTATATATACCAACGTTCGATCACAACAGTGATGAAAGTAAACAAGGAAATGTTAACGCTCATGTTGGAGGCTTACAATGAAACACTGGGATTTTGATTAATTGAATTTAGTTTTAGGCCACGTTTAGCAATATTGCAGTAATATCACGACGGGGTCACCAGAAATGGGCTTCATGCATTGTACCCAAGTGGGGTATCGAATCCGAGTCTTCGGCGTACCGAGCGAAAGCTTTAACCCACTGCCCCAACGATGAAACACACTTAAAACCTCTGTTCGATCGTGAAGTATACGATACCAGCTGTGGTTGCTTTGATCAAGTGATCAAGGGTTGATCCTGCTGTTGGAAACGAGATTGTATTGAGTTTTGACGAACAATGATGTATGCCAAGCTGGGTTCCTTCCTGCAGCAAACCCACGGCGGACAGATGCTGATTGTGTGCTTAGTTTCATTGTCTACCACAAGCTTGTGTATCAAAAGCCATGTTGCACTTGTTCCTGGTCGAAGATCCGGGTTAGAATTGATCTTCAGTAACCCATACTTGTCGTAAGAGGCGACTAACGGGATCGTGTGGTCAGGCTTGCTGACATGGTTGACACGTTTGCGTAGATAGATGCTCAGTGTGTTGATCACTGGATTGTCTGGTCCAGATTCGATTATTTACAGACGGCCGCCGCTGGAATATTGCTGAGTGCGGCATAAAACTAAACTCACTCCTCCTGGTCGACTTCTCGTCAAATATGGCAGTAGTGAAACTGTGCGTGCGTGCGTGTATGTGTGTGCATGCGCGCACGCATGTCGTGGATTGGGGTAATTTAAGTCATCCTGACCCACCAAGAATGTTCACTTCATCGCTAATTTCTTGTTTCAACACGCCAAATGCTAAGGGGAGGGTACTTTAGATATAACTTGTCAAATGTTTTATCATGTTCGGTTAGGTCTGTAACACATGGAATGTGTTGTCAGCTTATATTGCATCACCAGCTCAGCCGTTCAGCAGAATGATCCATTTAGTGTTAACGAAAAAAGAAATATACTGAGTAATTAAATATTTCTAAATAAATAATAATTTCACTTTGAACTTTCATTTCATGTCATTGATGGTGTTAAGAACCCTCTAAAGAGGCAATGATGTACACCATATACAGTTTCATACACAAAGTAATATTATGCCGTAGCTGATGAGCGAGTTGTTTACGCTACAGCCAGCATGGTTATATCACGGAAGTCTGTATATATTCATGTCCGGACGAAGGAAACCGGTGACTTGTATCTTGTGCAAAATGAACGTGGATGGTAGTGGATTGTGACATTTTCAGACATATTTGAACCAGTTAACTCTTTCAGCTTCTATGACAATGACGGATCTATCCAGTCAGGTTTAAAATGTAAAAGTTTAACTATATTTATTGGTCTTATTTGTGAAAGGTACCAAATTGTTTTAATACTTACTAAACTTTATTACCAATTGATTTAATCCTCGTTTAGAAACCAATAAACTGTACATATCAACATGCATTAAAGCTCATTTACCAGCAGCCAAGTATACAAGGACCATGAATGAAAGTACACATAGTACAATGTACATACTAGGACTACAGACTACATACAGTGTTGGTCTATTTTGAAAATATTAATCACAAAGGCTGGTTAGTTGGTTTGTTGCTTAACGCCGCATTCAGCAATATTCAAGCTATAATGACTGCAGTGTATAACTGAGTCTAGACCAGACAATCCAATGATCAACAACATAAGCATCGATCTACGCAACTGGTATACGATAACACGGGTCCTCCCGTTTAGGTTAGTCGCCTCTTACGACAAGCATGGTCTGCTCAAACCAATTCTAACTCGGATCTTCACGGATGACGTTACCTGTGAGAGCGTGCAGGAAATAACATAGTGAATCTCATTAAACTGGCAGCGAGATACATCATGAAACGTATTTATTGATAGCTGAAAAAAAGAAAAGAAAAAGGGAATCATACCGTGCAAAAACTACGTGTGACATCCCAAAAACAACGAGTGAGTGAGTTTAGTTTTCGCCACACTGAGCAATATTCCAGCTATATGGCTGCGGTCTGTAAATAATCAAGTCTGGACTAGACAATCCAGTGATCAACAGCATGAGCATCGATCTGCGCAATTGGGAACCGATGACATGTGTCAACCAAGTCAGTGAGACTGACCACCCGATGCCGTTAGTCGCCTCTTACGACAAGCATAGTCACCTTTTGTGGCAAGCATGGGTTGCTGAAGACCTATTCTACCCCGGATCTTCACGGGTTTATTGAGTTGAACATGTTAATGTTGTTTAACGCCGGAGCAGTATTCCAGCTATATGGCGGCGGTCTGTTAATAATCGAGTCTGTACTAGACAATCCAGTGATCAACAGCATGCGCATCGGTCTATGCAACTGGGATACGATGACATGCGTCAACCAAGTGAGCAAGCCTGACCACCCGATCCCGTTAGTCGCCTCTTACGACAAGCATGGGTTACTGAAGGCCAATATTCTAACCCGGGACCTTCACGGGTACCAAAAAGCAACAAAGAAATGATAATGTATCTAACTTTTGTGTTCTAAAATAAACTAAGTTGATACTATAATACAAGAGCAGGGATGATAACAGTATAGAGAATGATCATCACATTCATCTCTCAGTAACAGTAATCCAACTTTACCCAACGGACCTATCAGTGATTACCCAGGGTATGACCATCACATACAGTGCTGGTCTTCTGTTGCTTGACGTGTAATGTGAGTGGGTTAACTCCTTTTATGTACCTCGCTCAGTAAGATGATTCTGGATTTATAGTCCGTTCGGGTTCAAATGAGAACGATGAACGATTGAATATCTCGAAATAGGGATAAATGCACAAAGCAAATAAGACACATGGTCCTGAAACCTCTGTACCCAACAGGATATGAAATCTGATGTTTCATGATCGATATCGAAAGAGATTGTTTAAGAAACCATCATGTAATATTGTGCTATTTTCACTCTTCACAGTGAGGGGTGACTGCTTCACAGCGGCTGGTGGAATAGCACCAGCATTCATTCAGGTGCAACTCAGCACAGCCAGGTGAGATGACTCCAGCTGGTCAGGCACTGTTCCATCAGCCGTTTGTCACCCCTCGGTGTGAAGCGTGAAAACAGCATAATATTACATGATGGTTTCTAAAAACAACTTTTTCCTTGATCGATCATAAAATATCAAATTTTGTCTGGGAAATTGTACGGTGGGGAAGCGTCGTGCGAGGATTATCCGGAACCCATGGGGAATGTCCGAGACCTTTCTGCGATACCTGTATTAAGGCTTATCACTAGCAATGGCATGTTGGATTTAACTTGTTCCGAAATCACAGAACCGGATACCAGGTACAATGGGCCCTAGTGATTACATTTTGAGAAAAAACGGCAACCGAGAAGTTATACAAAGGAATCACTTGGAATTTTAAAAAACATGAAAGAGTAATAATTGTTTGATCAATTGCTTGTTAGTTGGGGAGGGTGCCCCCAGCAAAAAAAAGTTTTAGTAATTTTTAGAAAAAAGTCTCAAATATATCACAAACTGTCCCGTTGATCCAGCACATGGTATATATATTTCCGAGGACAATCTGTTTCTTCATCTGATGGACACAAATATACAAACATGGAAACTTAAACAAAAAAACAGGAACTTCAGTGACAGTCTCTTTGTCAAGTAGTATTTACTAAAAACAGTGGCGATTCACCGTAAAGAGGACTAGGAACGTGATCTATTTCCTGGTCTCTGCACCAGTGTAACACAATGGCGACGTTGGCCAGTGTTGTATTTTGGATTGCCAGTCTCAGCCTCGCAGCAGGTAAGTCATTCTTAATGAGTTTCAGCACCAGATACATGTTCCTTTGTCACTTTTACCTTTCCATAGTCGGTTCTACACTTGTAACGAATGGTGTATGTATGGAATCCTGGAAGGGACATTGTCGCGTTGTCGCATCGACACACGACAATGCGAGAAATGGGCGAAATGTCAGGTTGTCGCGTTTTGGTTTATTTTGCCTCACTTTACTTGTTTTTGAGAGGGCGACATAGCGACAATGTCCCTTCTCGGATTCCATAACAATGTCCCTTCTCGGATTCCATAACAATGTCCCTTCTCGGATTCCATAACAATGTCCCTTCTCGGATTCCATATGTATGTGACAAGTGCAACTGTGGAACTAATACCTGAATATCAGATTGTACCGTATGCAGTCTTACTGAATTAAGAAGAGTGTATTAGTATTGGGAAAACTAGCGCTTTTTGCTCGAAACACTGAAACATTTGGGAGTTTATATTTATAGTTACATCGGCAGTATTTCAGTCATATCATGACTAAAACAGGTTATACATCAATAATACATTTTTAGACTGTAAAACATGTCGACTGTGGAAGTAAAAGAACTAAAGGACCACATGTTCTATATATATTTAAAGATGATATATAAGCTTTAAAATATTACCAATGTATGAAATAAGCCAGAACCCCTAGCCAGACACCAGAGGGGGTAACTTCAAAATGTTATCAGACCAAGGTCATAGTGATAATATATGCCAACGCGGTGCTTTGAGCTTGCGATACGATAGTTCAATGTATTGTCAAATCTAAACGTAACGCTCAATTTGAAAAATAAATTTTAAGATATTGTGAATTTACTCAGATGTATAGAAGATGTTATTTAAAATTTCTACCAGACAATCCGGCTGGCTAGCTATACATTGAGACCGTCCGTCAGAAACCTAGCCCGTCTCGGGCGGTCAGACAGGCCTTATTTCATACACTGATCTATGTCTCTTTGTAAATACAATATGCAAATGGGCTGTAGATCCAGCCACTAAAGTCAGACCAGCATAATAATGACCACGGGGGATAACGGTTCTACTGCCACCTGCATGCTACCCCAGCTGTATTTACAGCATCCCTCTGGCTGCTGCTGTCAGGAGCATAGCAAGCCATGTT